TGTGGAGGTCTCAGCGGTGTTCGCCTACTCGAGTGTCCGATTTTAGTTCCAGACACTCGACGGCAAAACACCGCTGTTCGGGAGTTTTAAAATGGTCGCCGCCACGTGTTCGTTTGTCGAATGGCGGCCACCCCCGAGAACAAAGGACGGCTACTTACTGTTCAATTACCCGTTCGCAACAATGTTGCAACGGGTAATTGAGGACACACTTCACACATGGGAGGTCTGGTTGTTCGGTAGTTTCATTCGAATAAACTAAGGGAACGAAACTACCGAACAATCACAAGAATACAAGGCTTTAAAACACATAGGAAACTAACAGATCACACGAATGCAATTATTTCACAGACATTTGCAGGACAGCCCAGTGCCATCCGCTACACTGCTCCCCTGCCCACAAGCCGGCATACACAGTCTGATCCAACACGGACGTTTGGGGATGTCCGGGACTCACGGATCATTTCTCCAGGTCAGTTTGTCTTGACAACTGCCGGCATTCTATTCTGTTTACCCGGCTGTACTGAATATTAAAGTCAAAAGGCTGTAGCGCCAAACTCCAGCGCAGCAGCCTGGCATTGTCCCCAGCCACCCGGTTTAGCCAGACCAACGGGTTGTGATCCGTGAGTAACGAAAAAGGCTGTCCATATAGATACGGCTGTAGTTTCTTTAAGGCCCACACCACAGCCAGGCATTCCTTCTCGATGGCGGCGTAGCTTACTTCCCTGGGTAACAGCTTGCGACTGATGTAAGCCACGGGGTGCTCTCCGCCATCGGCTCCGACTTGGCTCAGTACTGCTCCCAATCCAAACATAGAAGCGTCTGTGTGAACAAGAAAACGTTTAGTTGGATTGGGAGCTGCCAAGACAGGAGCGTTTATCAGTGCATTTTTCAGATGGTGGAATGCCTGCTCACACTCCGGGGTCCAGGTCACCTGGTGGGGCAAATTCTTCCGAGTAAGGTCAGTGAGAGGTTTGGCGAGGGCGCTATAGTTAGGGACAAACTTCCTGTAATACCCAGCGGTCCCTAGAAAGGCTAACACCTGGGTTTTAGTCCTAGGAGTGGGCCACTGGGCCACGGCTTCTACCTTGGCTGGTTCGGGCTTCTGTTTGCCGAACCCACTCTATGTCCGAGGTACTGCACCTCGGCCATCCCTATGCTGCACTTGGCCGGTTCTCAATGTCAAACCAGCTTCCTTAATTCTGTCTAGAACCGCTCCTATATGGGCCAAGTGCTCCTGCCACGTATTGCTAAAAATGGCAATATCGTCCAGGTAGGCACAGGTGTAGTCTTGGAACCCATCCAGGAGTCGGTCTACCATCCGCTGGAAAGTAGCTGGGGCGTTTTTCATCCCAAATGGCATGACCTTAAACTGGTACAAGCCAAATGGGGTGACAAAGGTCGATTTCGGGATGGCCTCTGGGGCCAGGGGGATTTGCCAATACCCCTTACATAAGTCAATGGTAGTGAGGTATTGACCCCTGGCCATTCTGTCCAGTAGCTCATCTATCCGTGGCATAGGGTATGCATCGGACACCGTTTTCTCGTTTAATCTCCGGTAGTCTACGCAGAAGCGGGTCGTACCGTCCTGCTTCGGTACGAGTACTACCGGAGAAGCCCAGGGACTATCTGAGGGCTCAATCACCCCCAGTTGGAGCATCTCATCGATCTCCTTGCGCATGTTTTCCCTTACCGCTTCAGGGATGCGGTAGGGGTCTGACGCATCGGTAATTGCCCTGGGGTCTCTACCCGGTGAGTGGCCAGAGGGGTGTACCCAGGTACGTTAGAGAACGTGTCTCGTTTCTCTTCCAACAGCTGCCGTACCTCGATGCGCTCCTGTGGGCTCAGCCGGTCTCCCAGTGTGACTTCCCCTAAATCCCCAGACAGCTGCCCATCTTCCAGCAGATCTGGGAGTGGTAAGCTGTCAGACTCATCTGAATTGGGAGCGCATATGGCGGTTACCTCCTCGGAGCGTGCTTGGTAGGGCTTCATCATGTTCACATGGAGCATGCGTCGCCCTCCCGTCCCTGTACAGGAGCCAATTATATAGGTGGTGTCACATCTCTGTTCCACCACCCTATAAGGTCCCTGCCAGGCGGCCTGTAGCTTGTCATGTCGGACAGGCTTTAAAATTAGCACTTTCTGCCCGACCTAAAAGCTACGGTCCCTGGCTCCCCGGTCATACCATGTGCGCTGGCGAGTCTGTGCCGCCTGAAGGTTTTCCCTTACCGTCCTGGTTAAGGCTTCCAGGCGGTCTCGGAGAGCCAACACATATGGTATGATGGGGGTGCCATCTGCGCTCCGGTCTCCCTCCCAATGCTCTCTTACAAGATCTAAGGGGCCTCTGACCCTCCTCCCAAATAGCAGTTCAAACGGGGAAAACCCCGTGGATTC